CCCCCCCCCCCCCCCCTCTGTTTTCGATTCGGTGCGTGTGTACCAACCATTTTGGTGCTCTTGGTGTAGAGGCACTCCTTGCCGACCATCTCCGAGTGCGGAGGGCACTTGTACTTCTGGGGGAAAGTCTCGTGCTTCACGCAGACGGGGCCGCTGTGGTGGTGCTTCTTGCCGCTGCCGTGGACGAGCTCGTAGTGGGGCGGGCACTTGGTCTTCTTGTGCGCGGGGGTCTTCTTGACGCAGTGGTCAGATGCCTTGTCGTGGCCAGACTTATAGTAGAACGACACACACCACACATGCTGTGCTGCTGTGCATCCGTCGTGTGTGCAAGTCCCGTTCCCACCCACCTTGGAGTAGCCCGGTGGGCACACCATCTGGCCGGGCTTGTACTCGCACTGGGAGGTCGTCTTGTGGTCAGCAGGAGCGGGGGCGCCCTTCTTGCCGGATGAGTCGTGTCCATGGCCGCCGCTGTGGCCGTGCCCGCCGCTGTGGCCGTGGTCGTAGCCGCCCTTGCTGTGGCCGCAGAGCTCACACAGCTTCTCGCCGCGTGGGCCCGCGTGGCCGCTGGGAGTGTAGCCCTTGGGGCAGACGAACTTCTTGGCGGCCGTCTCGGTGTGGTAGCAACCACCGTCCTTGCCCGGCGAGGCTGAGACACAACACGCAACAGACACCCACAACACACGTGTATGTGTGTCTCGTGTGCATCTGTCTGGGTGTGCGTGGGAGCTCACTCTTGTCCGGACAATAGTGCTCCGGCGCCTTGGTGTCAGTCTTGTGGCAGCCGCCCTTCTTGCCGTGAGTGGTGCCGGGGGGGCAGTAGGGCGTCGCGGGTGTCTTGTGCTGCTTGATGCACATGTTGCCGGACGGCGTGTACCCCTTCGGGCAGTACCTGCACACGAACCACAGCACACACACACACACACACACACATTCAGGTGGATCCGTCAATCCAGGTGTCGGTGGCTTACGTCTCGGGCTTGACTTTCTCGATTTTGCCGCAGACGTCCTCGGCGTGCTTCTTCTTGCCAGTCTGCGAGAGGTGGTAGTGCTCTGGACAGATCGGCTTGGCCTCTGTCGTGTGGTGAGAGATGCACTTGTCGCCGTGGGGGCTGGTGCCCTGAAGCGAAGCAACAGGAGACAGCACACAGGAGAGGGAGAGGCTGATGTGTGTGTTGTAGGTGCTGCGCGTTGGTGCATGCGCTTAGCTTACGGGTGGGCAGCTCTTGTGGGCGGGGTAGCTGTCGGTCTTCTTGCACTCCTTGCCACTGTCAGTGTAGCCCTGAGAGAGAGGACAGAAGAGCAGCAACAAAAGGATGACCCAACGCATCGGTGGTGCTGCTGTCTGGTGGTGAGGGTGCACGTTCTTCACGTGTGCGTACCTTAGGGCACTTGGGAGTGGGTGGCACCTCGTGGGATTTCACGCAGCCAGCGCCTCCCTTGTGGCCGCCCCCATGCGAGGACATATGGTAATCCTGCACACATAAGACAGTGGTCATGGTATGCTGTTCACGCACAGCAGCCTGTCCGATTGCTCACCGGAGGGCAGACCATCTTGATGGGCTGCACCGCACCGCACACATGACGCACAGGGACATCAATGAGGCCAACAACGATTGGACACGGTGGGTATCAGCCTCGGTGAGTGCGAACCTTATGGTCGGTCTTGACGCACTCGCCCTTCCCGCCGTGCTTGCCGCCCATGTCAGAGTAGCCCTGATCAATCAATCAACAAACAGACCACAGCCAGCATGTGTGGACCGTCGAGGCAGGCCATCAGCTGTTGGCGTGGCTGTGTTGAGCTGCGTGTAGACGAGAAGAGGCTTCCTCACCTTCGGGCAGTGCTTGATCTGCGAACAGGGAGGACAGCATCCAAGATGTGCGTGTGTGTATGTGTGGGTGGGGCTGTGGCTGATGTAATTCGCTTAGCTCAGCTTACTGGAGCGACGTGTGTTTCCTTGATGCATTGCTTGCCGCTGTCGGTATAGCCCTTGGGGCACACGCCCTTGGGCGGCACCTCGTGCGACTTGACGCAACCCTTGTGCGCGTCTTGGTACCCCTGATGAAGATGAAGGAACGGACCCAACACATGTCTGTCCGGTGCTGTGTGCCGTTGTGCCATTCTTCATTCGACGTACATCTGGGCAGGTCTGCTTGACGGGTTTGGTGTCGATAGAAATGCAATCGTGGCCGCCCTTCTTGCCGTGACCACCCTGAATGGAATGGAGAAAGGGACACAAGGCCATCTCGGATGTGCAGCAGTGAGCTGAGCGTGTGTGGCTGCCTGGCTGTCCTGCTTACCGAAGACGACGTTCCCTTCGGACACTTGTACTGAATGAATGAATGACCACACACAACACAGACACAGAAAGGCACAAGTGAGAGGAACCCATGTGTGGCCCTCCCCCTCCCCCTCCCCCTCCCTGCCCTTCACTGCATTGATCTCACCGATGGGTGAGTGGTGGTGTGCTTGGTACACACGCCATTATGAGGACCATCGTAGCCTGCACACCCACCCAGCACACACACGTGTGAGGGCGTCAGTGACCTCTCAATCTCCCTCTCCTTCCAGTTCCCTCACCCTTGGGGCACGACTCGACGGGCGTCATCTCTTTGCCTTTGGAGTGATGGCCACCGCCATGGCCGCCGTGACCGCCGTGACCGCCGCCCTTCTTGCTGTCGTAGTCGTCATGAGGCGCGGCCGAGACCACCACCAGAGAAAGAACCGCCAGAGCGATGATGCGCTGCATGATGGTGGATGGCTGAATGCCGCAGGCGCTCAATCAAAGGGGACGCCGACTGACTTGACTGACCGAAGGGGGGGAGGGACGGATAGGCAGAGGAACGAGGACGGAGAGAGGCAGTCGGGGCGCTGGCTGGGGCGACGGTGCGCTGATGAAATAGATAGGTCTCAAAAAGGTTCAAGCAAAGTCGCTGCAGCGCTGCGATAAGAGGATGAAGGGAAAAAGTTCGCCGGAGGGCGTCGCAAGTATAAACGACTGTGAGAGAGCGGGCTGAGAAGTGAGCCTCGTACGAACCCTACGCTGTAACCAGGGTTAAACGTAAACTAAACGGAACCCTAGACCCAAAATACCCTAACGGAGTCATATGAAAATGGCCGCATGCCCTCAGATCTCTCGTAATCCTTCGCGATGATGACCCCCTGCCGCTTCGGCATTCATGAGTCGCTGTGGTGGGCAGTGTGCTTCATGAATGCCCTGTACGAGCCTCCTCATTCATCCCTGCAGCTCCGCCCATCAGGAGCATCTCACACCTCCTCATCCGATCGGCCATCACGCGCTGACCCCGATGAACAGGTGCGGGCATTCGTGGAAGCTTGCTCACAGACATTGTGTGCAGTGTGTGTGTGTGTGTGTATGTGCGTGTGTGCGTCGAAACACACACATACAGGAGGGTCGTCTGCGTCGATCTGCGTCAGATCTGGCCTCCTATCTTCACCGCTCACCGTGGTCGTTGGGAGCACGCGCGCGCGTGTCGGGCTCGAGGCCGGTTGGGCCTGGGCCATTGATTGCGGTGAAGATAGGACAGATCAGGCAGGCAGATCAGCAGACAGGCACGCTCGCAGTGCGAGCACACATCGGTGCGGAGGCGAACGTATCCTCACTCACCAGGCAGGCTACAGCTTCTGCGCGCGAGACCAACGAGGTGGGAGGCGGTCAGGGCCAACAGACAGAGGCCGCCGCTGCCGAAGGTCGTGGTGCCGCCCGAGCTGCGTCAGTACTCCCATGATGCCGCACACTCGAAAGGGGCAGCGGGAATCGATCGCATGTGAGTGAGTCAGTGGGCTGGTACACACACACACAGAGAGGGAGGGGGGGCAAGTATGTATCCTGTTTGTTGTTGTCTGTCGTGTGTGGGTGCGGTTGGCGTCCGTCCGTGTGATAGGTATGGCGAGCTGAGGTACCGGCAGTGGACAGTCACTCACGAGGGCTACTTCTTCTGGCCCTTGGTAGGCACCGCATTGATTGCAGTCAGGCAGACTGATCACAGACAGATAGACAGACAGACGGACAGATCCACACACGTGTGCACCCGGCCATGTTACATGTGTGTGTCTGTTCGTCTGTCAATGACTTGTTTACTGACCGTCGTTGGCGCAGATGCACGAGTTGGTGCGTCAGACGGACTGGCGCGCCGTCGTGTGGTGTGCTGACGGATCTGATGACAGACAGACGCGACGTCAACATTGAATATGGAGTGCCTCGAGAGTTCGACATGTCTCTCAAACGCGACAGCCAAGGGTAACTAAGCGACCGCAGAGGAGCGGGGCTTCACATGTATATATCGATTCATGCCACATTCATTCCATGTATCTGCCAGGAACTTCAAGTTCGACGGGACGCTGTTTGCGTTGTGAAGCATATCGTTGGATCTGACAAGGCGGCGGCCGACCTCCGATGGCTCATGCGCGTCCACGATATCAAGCAGTGTGCGAGTGTTGTCGACTACAGGTGGTACTTTTACTACTACGACCGAGAGGCGGACGAGTTCGTCAAGACCATGGATGACATCATGATGATCCTCCTGACCGCACTGACAGGAGCGGCCAAAGGGATCGGCGCCCAGAGGGACCGCCTCGAGCATCCACATAAGGAGAAACAAGAGCCTGACGGCCCTGGCATGGCCAGCAACTATGACGTGACCTCAAGATAGACAGACAGGCAGGGCGTGTGGCGGGTGGGTGACTGTTCTGGTGCATGTACATAGAAATGTAGCCCAGCCAGCACATGTACTAGTAGGGAGGGAGGGATGTGGGGAGGTAGGGACGTACGCCAGGGGTGGCCGCCACTTTCTGTGTCTCGTGGGAAATGCACAGTGACATTTGGTGGGTCAGTCGTGTGCTTAGCAGGCACTGGACTTTCTCGTGTTCAGCTGAGGCCGTCGAAGGAGAGCCAGATGCTCGACGAAGCGTGTGCGTCATGGACGTTGAGCCAATCTTTCATTTCGTTTCATTCATTCATTCATTCATTCATTTTGTTCCTTACATTTCCGTGAACACTGAACACAAGAAGCGCATTCATGGAAACACCAGCAAAAAACAAAAAAGCGGGCGAGATTCTCGACAAGAGACGGCGAAAACTAATTCTATTTTGCGCTCTGCGGCCGTCCAACAACTTCATCGACTTCTTCCTGCGGGTCAATTGCTGCGGGTTATCGCACGGCTCCAAAGTATCCATGCAGTCCGCGCTGCCTACCCCTGCCCACATCAGCTGCCGAGCCGAAGAGGCATCTCTTGTCCAGGGCATCTGTCGCATGAACGTGTCGTCGTGCCGCAGCCACATCCCGTAAGGAAAAACCCTACAAATGCATTGTGCATCCATCCGTGTGTGTAGGTCAGTGCCGCAGAGGTGAGGGGACCGCCTCAAAGAGCTGCGAGAGCTCGCAACGCAGGGGCCCTACTCGTCAGACCGACGTGTTGCCGCCAAATGGGGAGCTCTGCGCGGCTGGAGGGTTCTGCATCAAAGTGGCGAAGAAGGTGGGTCATGTGTCTGGCGTCCATCTATCCATCTACATGTATCAAGTGGAGGCGTCCGTCCATTGTGGTGCTGCCTGCTGCCTCTCTGTGTCAGGTCGGATATGACACCTCCGACGAGGACCACATCAAATTCAACAAAGACGAGTGAGCGGGCGGCACGGCAAAGAGGGAACATACATCTCTGATGCCATTCCCCTCCTTCTGTCTATGTGTCTTTGTGTCTGTCTGTTCTTCAGCCGCGTGAGGCTGCTGAACCTCCTGAAGGCCGAGGCCCGACAGCTGAAGACTGCCAGCGAGACGAGAGGCCGCGGCCTGGGCCTAGCCAACGTCAACAGCAGCCTCACGCGGCGCGCCAACCAATACGCGGCGAAGACCCACACAGAGCTCACAAAAGCGGCGGTGAAGGGCCTTTTTTCGGAGGCGAAATGAGATCTTCCCGAAGGACTATTTCAAGGATGGAATCCACAAGGTAAGACGGTACAGAGAGTGCATGCCTTCCAAGATAATGAATGCCGTGTGCCGTGTCCCTTTCAGCCTGGCCAGTGAGATGGGATGGGACGGGGGCGGGGGGCAGGCGGAAGGGGGGAGAAGGTGGCCTGGTAGAAAGAAATAAGATAGATGGCCAACCTGGCAGTCGCCGCCGCCGCAGCTGCAGTATCGCCGCCCACCACGAGGTCTTCAACCGCGCGAGGCTGCTGAACGTGCTGAAGGCGGAGGCGCGAGAACTGAAGACAACAAGCGAGACGAGAGGCCGCGGCCTGGCGCTGTTCACCGTCGACAACAGCCTCCAGCGCCGCGCCACTCAGTACCACGTCGAGACACACACGCCCCTGTCAAGATCATCCGTGAATGGCCTCATTTCGGAGGCCAAGCACGCCGTCTTCCCGACGGGATATTTCAAGGATGGAATCCACAAGGTAAGACGGTACAGAGAGTGCATGCCTTCCAAGATAATGAATGCCGTGTGCCGTGTCCCTTTCAGCCCGGCCAGTGAGATGGGATTTGGAGGGGCGACGAGTGAGTAAGTGAATGAGTGAGTGAGTGGCTGTTTTCTCCTCGTTGTGAAAGCGTGAGACGAGGCAAGAGGGTGGAACTCGGTGCAGTACTACCATCCAGGACATTCAGCGCCCATCGGGCTCTTGCGGCGACCTCTTCTGGCTGCGATTCATCTGTCGGTGAGAAGCGAAAAAGAGTGGTCAGTCAGGAGCCCACCCACACCGAGTCATCCTCTCGTGGATGTAGGCACGACCTCGGCGGACGGCTCGGCCTGATGGTGCTGGTGGACTTCAAGTATGGAGGAGGAGGAGGAGGAGGAGGAGGAGACGACGAGAAGAAGGTACACATAAAGGAGCCATGTGCACATACACACACGTGTACACACACGCGCACACACAACACACACATCTACCCAATTTGCATCTACCTCTCCGTCTATGCAGCTCGTATGGCTGCCAGAGGCCCGCTCACTGGACAAAGACGACGACATCATTGAGATGCTGACGGAGCTGATCACCCTGACGCAAGAGAAGCCCGTCAAAAGGTAAGCCTACAAAGCACAACGGGCCATGTCGGCAGGAGCCGGCAGACAACCGTCTCACTCGTATTTGTTCTTGCAGGGCCCTGCTGGCCGAAATCTACCCCTACACGCAGAGCAGCCATACTCGCCAGGAGCCTGGGGCCGTGATCGAACACGCGCGACTCAGGGGCTACACGAAACTGGTGCCCAACACGGCGCCC